TGAACCTGAGAAACCTATTTTCCTGAAAAATTGTTTTAATTTCAGCTGATAACAGTACTAATTGCTCATTCAATGAATACCGAATGTTTCCTTATAAGGAAATGGCTAATTACCATTTAGTTATTAATTTTCTGGATATATATATATATTGTCTTGAGTGTTCTTTCTGGTTTTTATAGGATAAATAAAAATGAAAAAAAAAACAAAAAAAACAAAACAAAAGGTTTTACATTATTCAGACTATTGTCCTCATCTTTGTCGCCATATTTATTACAACGTTTCGGCCGTTGTATGCTCCGGCTTCAAGGACACATGACACAGTGGATAAAGGCGTTAGTTAGATCCAGTGACAGGACCCGAAGAGTGTGAGTTCAATACCCGGTTAAGGCAGTGGAGAACTTTCAAAGGGAAATTAACAGGAGATAACTGATAACTGACATCAATTAAACATGGCACGGGGAACTAGAACAGTCTACCCCAGTGAGCGAAATAAAGGGTTCAGTTCGACATTCCAACCAACTGAAGAAGGCCGGAGCGTACAACGACCGAAACGATGTAATAAATATGGCGACAAAGATGAGGACAATAGTCCGAATAATGTACATAATACGTCATCTCAGAAATATAGACAAAAGGTTTTATTTTGAAAAATTGGATTAAGAGGACAATATTATAAATGAATTGTAATTTCAAAAATTAAAATATGCAAAAATAGGTTTCATTTTATTTTCGGTATGATCTTTGAAAATAATTTGTGATCAAACTGATTCCACTCCAACTCTGTTTTTTTTTTTTTTTTTTTCTCCTCTTGTGCTTGAAATTCACTAAAACCAGAAACTCAGTCACTTTGCAGAGGTATTCAAAAGCGACTTGAATAATCATGAAAATTTGACTTACCACTTTTGTTTTAATATTAAGAAAAAATGTTGATGGATGTGTTCAAACACCCCATGATACTTGTAAAATTCTTTTTTTTTAAGTATATCATCCCAAGCAAGGCAGGAGTATCAGGATTACGCAAGGGGTTACAGGGAGTGAGAGTAAAGAGGGGTGTTTGGGGAAAGGATAAAGAGAAGGACGAGGATGAAGATCAAGGAATCAGAGGATGTCAATTTTAATATTATAGCTATCAGGGAATCAAGTAAGAGGAAGGGAGTTCCACTGATGGGAAGTGCAAGATAAGAAGCTGTTGGAGTAGAAAATACGGTTACATTTAACTGTTTCGTCAGTGAAAGGGTGGGACCGAGATGACAACCTAATAGCAAGCTTAAATTCGTGCAGTTTGCGAACCAGAGAAAGTAGCTCGTCAGTTGCCATGAAAATACTTGTAGAAAAGACAGGAGGAGGCCACAGCACGTCTGTGAGAGGGTGACTGTAGACGAGATGCCAGATCAGGACCTATCACATTGCATATCCGTCTTTGGGTTTTGTCGTGGACCTCGAGATGATCAGCGGAGGCATAAGACCATATATGATAGCAGTATTCAATGTAAGGACGACTGAGATTCTTAAATGTATATATTTTTTCGGTTTTTTTTTTAACATACATAGGAGGGGAAAATGTAGAAAGATTAAAATATTATCAAAATGAACGCAAACTGACACTGAATCATTATTACAAATTGGATCATATTTTTTTTTTTTAATCATTTCGCCTCAAAGAAAGCTATTAAGTTGCAAGTGTTTACTGAGAGTGATAGAAATCAGGGAAAACAAAAAGATTCAAGGAGACTGACAATAATAATTTAGATTACATTTAAATTTCTGGAGAGCATGCGTGTCAGGCTTCAGGTTGTATACCGCCAGGGCCCGTTTCTTTGCCTGACTTAAGAGAATAGATGACCTTGGTGATGTCATTCTTAGGTAAACGGGCCAGTACTGAAGAGGATCGCCAAGAACTGCGTCCATTGGAGAGGCGTTGTTGCAATCATATGTTCCCCAAAGAATCAAGACGCATAGAAGAATACGCGGCATGAAAGCAGGAAGCTAGAAAAGATTTCCACATGTATTATTACCAAGAAAGCATATATATATATATATATATATATATATATATATATATATATATATATATATATATATATATAAAATTCTGGGGTTTCCATTAATCCGTCCGTCACACCCTCTAAAATAGTGTAGTGGACCGTGGCTGTGATGTTGTTGAGTAGACGTAGAAGAAACACATGTGGGTTCAGATTTTCCTGCTAGCAGGTCCAACTATATGAAAAGGTTGGACTATTAATTAAGTCCAAAGAATGCAAAGAAAACAAACAAAACACATGACCGATAATATATGTATACAAATATATATATTAATAACAGGTTACATAGAAACAGTTACAAAAGGACAAAGTGTGTGCGAATATTATATATGTGCGTTTGTGTGTGTGTGTGTGTATTGTGCTTACCGTGTTCCCAGCATTTTGGGAAACGCTATCTCTCTGAGCGTTTACATCTTCGAGATGGTAAGGCTGAAAGCCTGAGGAAAAAGAGAGATTTACCTCCAGGTGTCGGCGCAAAGGCCTGAGGAAAAAAGAGAAAGAGGCGAAAGGTCAGCGGCTATTTATAGCCAGGGAAGAGAGACCCCTGCTGAAAGGGTTAACGAACTAAAGGAGGAGTTAACTCCGACAATAGCCATACATTGACCGATCTAAACCAAATTTTGGTGAAAAGTACAAACAGGTAAAAGTACAGTTGGTTTTACTAGGGTGCGTAGCTTAGTACAATAAATTTTCATTCATTTTTTGGGAAAAATTAAAACTTTTATTATTTAACATACAAAATACTATTTTAAAAACAATTTAATGATTAAAATAACAAATACTTATTTAATAAAAATACAATATTATTTGTGCATATCTTTTTATATATACAAGAAACCAGTTTCCGGTTTGCCTTGCATTTGCAAGAACTATAAACAAATCATATGAGCAAACGCTTTAAAAAGTTGGAATTTGGCTCCAGAAAGAAATATTTAGGCATAGTCAGTTGTATATTGCATGTTCAAGAATAATAACAGTAACAAGTCATTGCACATAAAGATAAATTTATAATTAAATAAAATGCAATTGTACTTTATTCTTTGAAGAATAAGTTTGACAAACAAAAACGGAAATTATTTATGACTCAACCTAATAAATGTATTTTTCTCATCTGTTATTATATCAGTTATAATTAACCCATTACCTGCCATAAGCCCCATTTGGGGATCTGTTAAAATTAAACTCACTACATGTTATTCCTTGTATTTACATTGAATTGCTTATATACATTGCATTTGCAGAGGTCTATTTTGCAACACTGAGCCTTTAAAGTTTTTATTATTAGCCGTAAGAAGACACTTTCTGTTGTAATTTTACATTTCACGAGTAGAAAAATAATGACTATTTTGAAAAGTATTTTTTATTATTTCTAATCAATATTATGTTTTGATGTTTTATACACATATATATTTGATGTTCTAGTTTCTATAAAGTTTCAAAGGACCAGCTATTCGAAGAAAATTTTTAATATTTTATGTTGTTTTAACTCTTGGGACACCTGTCTGGGCCAAAAATGCGCATTAAAAATGGCAGTTAATGGGTCAATGAATGTGTTAAATGTAGCTCAGATAAAATTAACCGACAAGCGTGAAAAAAGATTTGAAATTGACAATATTAGACATCTACACATGGAAGAAAATTGATTTTTTTTAATAAATTCACCCCTAGCAAGGGAATTTTGAATTAAGATGCAAGGGGATCTACTGGGAATGAAAGAGAATGACAAGAGTTTAGAAGGAACCGGAAAACCAATTTTAAACAGGAAACACGGGATAAACATCTACTGTTCAAAAGACCATGGAGGAGCGTGAACCGGGCGATAGGCGAACCTGTCTACTCCTATTGAAGGGAAAAATGATTTTACAACATTTGTCCTTGGATTATTTTAATGCTGATATTTTTATGGGGAATTAAAACTGGTCATCCTATAATGGCCTTGCTAACCACGATCTCATGTGAATTTGGCTTTAAATCCAATGGAAATTAAATTTCTTTTTCTATTAATTCTCTTATGTTTTGATAAATTATTTCAACAATTATCACGGTAAAGGAATAATGGTAAAAAAAAAATGACTAAGAGAATTGCAAATGGAGACAGATTTGAGGAAACCTGGTGTTGCAAGTATAAGAATATGACCTAAGACTGAAAAACAATATAATTGTAAATCATTATAAGTCAAATTTTGTCACTTAGCTGATTGATGTTATTTTCAGTGTCCCGACTCCAGAGTTTCGTAGACAGACATGTCCGTCCACTCTTCAGGAGGTATCAACAATTGACTGCTTAAATTTCTCGATTTTTCTTTTTTATGTACTTATCATTGTGTAAGTTTCTCTTTTGTATTGTTTGTGTTCGTGTGTGCGTTTGCGCATGTGCAGTCATGCGTTCATCTGTGCATTCACGCGCGTATGCCCGTCTCCGCGGATGTATGTACGTTTAGGGAGTCGTGATTATTTGTCCTTTTCTTCGTTTTTGTTTCCACTTTCCACTCACTTTTTTGCGTTTTCTCTTTTTTCCTTTTCCTTTTTTCTTTTAATTGTAGCGATTTCTTTCTGTTTTCTTTTTTCACTAGAAATGTTATTGTTTTTAATTTTTGAGCGTTCTAATCTTTTCTTAGGAATAAATAATTGATATTAATGCTTAAATGATAAATATTTTTATATGTTTTCACTTGGCTATTCTTTCGTTTTCTTAATTGGTTTGTTGGTATTTCAAGTATTAATTGTAGGAGGTTAGATTTATAATTATTTTTTTTTGTATTGTTTGAATTGATGTGTATATGCCTGTATTTATACGCTTGCGTATACGTACACTCAATCATTCATACATGCACGTATATAGGTGTACTCACGTGCACAAAACGTTTACAAAATATAAAAAATAACATGATTCAAAAAGTTTCAGAAAAGAAAATACAATTTTGAAAAATGCAAATAAGGGAATTAACTCCAATATAGTATCTATCTATCTATCTATCTATCTATCTATCTATGTATATATAAATAAAAAGAAAGAACAGTAAGATATATAATCCGGTGTTCTTATAGATATTTTTATTTTTACAAAATAGTGCTCAATGCGCCTTAAAACCCAGTAATTTAAAAAATAAGTTTCTCCAAAATTCGCTTGAGGTTGAAATGGAACTTATGTTTTTAATTTAATTACAAAATTAAATTCGAAACTTTTAGGTTCTATTTTTGAAACATGGTTAGAACTGTGTAGCGGAAAAAAAAAACCCATATTTTAAATCAATTAATTTATATGGCAAGGGAAGTAACTCAGTATTTTTCTCAATATATAAATTATGCCAAGGGAAGTAACTCGCTATTTATATTTTAAAGTTAATTCCCTTGCTTACAGTTTCTATACTGCATTTTCCTTTCTGAAAATTTTTTAAATCAAGTTATTTAAAAAATTTTTTGCGAGCGTTTACCTGATACAAGGCCCAAGAGTCACTCAAGGTAGAGGGCTAATAAATGTGTTTTTTCTATGGACGTAAGCGGAGGAAAGTGTATATTTAGATGATCTTTAAGATAGCCTCGAATTTGAATAGGCTAACATTATGGCGATCGGGGAAGGATCCTCTCGGGAGTCTGTCCTACAAATTAGCGGCCATCGGAAGACACTGTCTTAGTAGATGTTATACACTGATTATTTATTTATTTAATTATTTATTATTATTATTATTCATTATAATTTCTTATAGAGCGTATAATGTTATTTTCTTTTATGTGGCACGTCCCTTTAAGATATAGGCGATCATATCTCTTCACAACTTCCCATATCTTGTAGCTCTTAGCAGTTGTTTTGATAAGCTCTCGTTTCTCGTTCCGCCATTACAGAGGTTATTGTCATACAGTGTATAATTGTAATACAGTGATTATAACTGTGATACCGTGATTAAAATTGTCATACAGTAATTTTAATTGTCATAGAGTTTATAATTGTCATACAGTGATTATAAGTGCCATAGAGTGCATAATTGCTATACAGTGTATAATATTATACAGTGACCTTTTTTATATTGGGTTGGTGCGTAATTATCATGAGTTTTTGTAGGAGAGTTATTTAATAAAAATATTATTTTATTTTTAAGTTATAAAAATGCTTCTCCATAATTATATGCTCCGGAATAATCATTTAAAAATGTTATTGATGAATTGTTATGTTTCTTTCTTCATAATAAATACTGTTTAAAAACGCCTGATAATTATGCACCAAACCAATATTTTATTTATTACTCTAGCTTAAAAGCCGCACTCCGTGCATCATTTAAGCTTGCTCCTGCTGTGGGATAATTGGTCCGTCGGTTCACAACAAAAGGGACCTTTGGTCCATCTTAGAAAACAGAAATAATAATTTTGAAGAAATAACTTTGAATTCCTCAATTCACTCCATGCAATTATTAAAACTTCACTTGATTTCACTGATTTGAGCAGTCCATTTCTGACGAAAAGACCGATTTGAGCCGAAATTCCAATTTAAGCCGAGTTCTTTAAATTACAAACTCCGTGGAACAACTGAGTTCTTCAAATCATAAAATCCGTGGAACTTCAAAATATCACGTCACGAAACCTTTTACTTTTACTCCGATTTATTGGAATATTGAAGAAATAAAATTAGTTTCCTCAATTCACAAAGTTTTGGAGATATTTTAAACTGAATTTAAAACGTTTTTTTTTTAATTCACAAAGTTTTTGTGTTACTATAAACTCAATATAAGTTAAAAAGTTTTAAAATCACATTTTTTATTAAGGGTAAGCAACTCTTATTTTTGCATTGTAAAATTTCTGTCCCAAAAAACAATTTTGAAGGAACATTTTAAAATACTTTTATTTGTTCAATTAACATTACTGTATACTATATACATTATTCGGAATATTGTCCTAATCTTTGTCGCCATATTTATGACAACGTTTCGGCCGTTGTACGCTCCGCCTTCTTCAGGTGTTTGCAATGTCGAACATAACCCTTTATTTCGCTCATTGGAGTAGACTGTTCTACTTCCACGTGCCATGTTTAATGGATGTCAGTTATCTCCTGTTAATTCCCCTCTCCAAGTTCTCCACTGCTTTAACCGGGTATTGAACTCACACTCTTTGGGTCCTGTCACTGGATCTAACCAACGCCTTTATCCACTGTGCCATGTGTCCTTGAGTATACAGGCACAGTGGGTAAAGGCGTTGGTCCTTGAGTAAGAAATATAATCTAAATGAATAAACGGAAAATTCTTTCTGTGTGTCTGAAACCCCTCTAACTCGAGCAACACTAGCTGCACATAGACATGTTATGCCTTTTTTGGAATCAGGATGGTCTTGAGATTGAAATTCTGCCCTTCATCTGGTGCTTGAGCATCCATCATTGGAATTTCTGTCCGGCTGAAGAGGAAACAATTAGAAATTCAAATCTTAGTCTATCCTATATCCATCGAAAGCAAAAATTCTGTCTGTCCGTCCATGTGTCTGACACCGCTGTAATTCGGATTACACTCGCTCTACATAAACATATTATACTTTTATGGAATCAGAATGGTCTTGAGATTGAAAATCTGCTCTTCATCTGGTGCTTGAACTTCCATCATTGGAATTTGTGTCCGGATGAAGAAGAAACGGTTAAAAATTCAAATTTTAAAATAACTGAAAAAAAATTGTGATTTTAAAACTTTTTAACTTATATTGAGTTTAAAGTAACACAAAAACTTTGTGAATTAAAAAAAAAAGTGTTTTAAATTCAGTTTAAAATATCTCCAAAACTTTGTGAATTGAGGAAACTAATTTTATTTCTTCAATATGCCAATAAATCCGAGTAAAAGTAAAAGGTTTCGTGACGTGATATTTTGAAGTTCCACAGATTTTATGATTTGAAGAACTCAGTTGTTCCACGGAGTTTGTAATTTAAAGAACTCAATTTTCGGCTTAAATTGGAATTTCGGCTCAACGAAACAAGGGTAAAAGTCTATATAACCATATGTTCACAAATCCTTCGTTTTGATTTATTGAGTTTAAAGTTAGTTTAAGGTAGATGGCGCTGTGTTGCTATGTAGATTAGGTTGCATTTGGCATTCGTGTATATTTGTGTCTAGTCTGTCTTCAACGTACGAAACTGGGGTCAAAACACTATGAAAGTGTAAAAATAGGTTTTAATACCAGAAATACTTTGTAAACAATAATCAGCAATAATTTTTTGAAGAAAAACAAAAAAACAAACTATTAACAGCAATACATTTTTGCAAAAAAAAAAAAAATACCAACAATACGTTTTTGAAAAAAAAAAAATATTACCAGCGATACAATTTTGAAGGAAAAAATTATTCCCAGAAATAGATTTCTGACAAAAAAATATTACCAGCACTACAAATTTTGTCGGCATTAAATAACACATTGAGGTTGATATGCCGTTATGCAAACCAAACCAAACCAAACCAATCCTTCAAAAATGTATTGCTGGTAATATTTTTATATATATTAATATTTTTTCCATCAAAAATATATTGCAGGTATTATTTTATCCCTTTAAAAATGTATTGCAGGTATTATTTTATCCCTTTAAAAATGTATTGCAGGTATTATTTTTTCAAAAATGCATTGCCGGTAATAATATATTGCTGGTGATAATTTTTTCTTCAAAAATTTATTGCTGGTAATAATTTTTTAGAAAAATATATTGACGGTATTAAAATCTAGTTTTACACTTTCATAGTGTTTTGACCTCAGTTTGGGTGTTAACTATTTGTCCATAGCCGGGATCCTAACAAGTGTTACTAACCCCAGGTCAGGACCTGGGAACACCAGCAATTAAGAGGTGGTTCCACGCTCCTCAAAACCTCCTGATCAGAGGCCTTGCTACTGGATGTAGTTTATCGTCACACCCAGGATACCTCATTTAGCGTGGGTCTTAACCCTTTGCAGAAGTGCAGTCGGCGTATTCTGAAACCCCAGCCGACAAGTAGCGACAGAGCAGTGAGTGGCGTGTCGCATTCTGTTTGTCAGAGAAGAAAGGTGGCAAATAAATTGTCACCCAGAAGAATTCAAAGATGTTTTTAGAGTCTATCGAGATTGGGAAGTGTGGACTAGGTAGCCCCTTCCCAAATATGACTACAAACTCTAGTTTGTTGATAATCACACCGCAAGTCGCATAAGTTTGGTACAAGACCAATAGTATGGCTACCCAGTGAGAATCGACATTACGAAGAGGAGCTCATTCAGACAACAACGATAATTAATCGAAAAAGTTAAAATCAATGGAAATACGTTTTCTCCCTTTTCTTTAATTCTATCTTTTTTGTCGCCCTCTGCTTCCGTTATTATGGATGCGCAGTGGTCGTGGTAGTGTGTCGGAATAAGAAATCGTGGAGCCGAGTTCGAATATCAGTCGTGTTAATTACATTCACTTAGGCAAAAATAACCCTGGGAAAATTATGGATCTGTAGTGAAAGCAACAAATAAATCAATAAATAACCTTTAACCTTTAGTACTAGACTAAGTAGGAGTCTTTTTTTTGATGTGCCATGTTCTTTCAGGATGTAAGCGATCGTGGCTCTCCACCTCCTTCTATCACTTGCAGTTCTTAACAAGTTCATTCCCTCTGCTACCTTCCCAAGACGACATTCTGTAATCCACTTGCTTAAGCCCGCCAGGTATGTCACTCTTTGTTTTCCCTTGTCTCTCTTTCCCTCTATTCGACCCGTGAGTATCAGATTCTCCAGGCTCTTCTTCCTCATTATGTGTCCCAGAAACTTCAGCTAACTCTTCCTGCAATAAAAGCAATAAAAATCTTGACGGCATTAAATAACCCATTGACTTTGATATGCCGTAAAACAAAATAAACCAAAGATCTACAAACTATTTACTTAAAAATAATACATATTCTATTTATACGAATCGATACTAAAAATATTACCAGCATTACATTTTTTGAAGAAAAAATATTACCAGCAATACAAATCTTCTCGCCATTAAATAACCCGTTAAGGTTGATATTGCATAAAACAAAATAAACCAAACTTGATCTACAAACTGATTTCTTACAAAGAATACATATTCTATTCATACGAACCTATCCTAAAAATAATGTCGCCATGAAATAACCCATTAAGGTTGATATACCGTAATACAAAATAAACCAAACCTGATCTACAATTTAATTTCTTACAAATAATACATATTCTATTTATATGAATCGATCCTTAAAATATTACCAGCAATACATTTTTGGAAAAAAATATTACCAGCAATACATTTTTGGAAAAAAATATTACCAGCAATAAAAATCTTGTCGGCATTAAATAACCCATTTAGATGTTGATATGCCGTAAAACAAAACAAAATAAACAAATCAAACTCGGAATAGTTAACGGGATTGATTTTGGAATCAACATCAGGTTCATGATTATTGGTGGAATTTATCGAGTTTGCACCGGCTCACGTGAAATTATTTTTTTTTTATAGGTAGGATCTTCCCAGTCCCAATTTTCCAGTTTCATTAGCGTTCAAAAGCGTCTCCGAGTCCCTGTGGGTGATGAATTATTTTCTACCCTCTAACCTCTCTCTCACCCAGCGTGATATGGCAAGCCACAAAACTGCTGTATCGTTAAAGTGAAAAGTAAAAAAAATTAAAAGTGTGTGGACGAACTACATCCTTTGCTTTCGCCATTTCTAACCTTTAAGGCTAGGACCCACCATGCGTTCTGTAGCAAATCACTCCCATTTCCTCTGTATTCCATCAGTGTGAAGTAAGTTCCACTCAAACAGCTTCTTTCCGCGAACTACTGTCGTATAGAAGAGACTCCCAAGAGGATGTTTCCTAAATCACTACAGATCTTAACCTGTTCAAGACTAAAGTCAACAGTTATCTTCTCTTATCCATATAAAAACTACCGCTTAACGTAAACTTCTAAATTGAGTGTGGCCAAAACCTTGTACAGAGTAAATCTTATTCTAAAAAAAAAAAGGAAAAAATTGCAGAAGGCCGAATGAATTATCGGTTAAGAAATCGTTTTATTGCGTCTATTTTGGTAATTTTGTTTGTTTCTTTTCTAATTCACTACCTTCGTTCTTTTTTGATCCTCAGTTCCTCTCACATTCAATCTGTCACTTTTTTTTTATTTGTTTGTTTGTGTTGTATAGAAAGGCGACCGATTTTGTCTACATTAAGTGTTGAACATAGACTCGTCCATTGGTTATAAGTGGAACGTTTGCTCGTAGGAACAAGGTGGCAAAAGTGGGTCGCAAGGCGTAGCGTTGAGTCGTATGCATTGCCTCACTGAATTACGGTATTCGCTATTATCGTATTATTAATCCATGTCTCTCAAGAGATTAAAACCTTTCTTTACTAATCTTTTGTTCCAGCGATTTCTTTACAATAGTATTAATCAGAAACTACGAATATTTTAACAGTTTGTTTCTTTCTGTCTTTCAAATATCCAACACTTATTTCTGGCCTGTCCAATCATACTCTTTTTTATTCAGTTCTTTCTTTCTTTCTTTCTTTCTTTCTTTCTTTCTTTCTTTCTTTCCTGATCGCTTCCTTGCTTTCTTTCTTCCTTTTTTGCTCACGTTCTTTCTTTCTTTCTTTCTTTCTTTCTTTCTTTCTTTCTTTCTTTCTTACGTCTTTGCTTAATTTTTTCTTTGATTGTTTGTTTGTTTGTTTGTTTCTTTATTTCTTTCGTGATTCTTTCCCTTATTTAAATTTCCCCACTTTCTTTGTACATCCTTTTCACTATTTATTTCCGTCATGGTTAAGCATTTCCTTCTTTCCTTCTTTCCTTTATTCCTCTCCCGCCTATAATTTAAATTTCCATTCTAACTTTCTTCCATTCTTTCCTTCCTTCCATCATTACTTCCTTTCTTCAATTCTACTTTTTCCTTCATTTCAATCTCTTTCTATAATTTAAATTTCCTTCCTTCTTTTCTTTCATTCTTTCTTACCTTCCATCATCGCTTCCTTTCTTACATTCTACTTTTTTTCCTTCATTCTAATCACGTCTAGAATTTAAATTTCCTTCCTTCTCTTTTTTTCATTATTTCCTTCCTTGCATCAACGCTTCCTTTCTGACATTCTGTTTTTCCTTTATTCATATCCCGTCCATAATTTAAATTTCTTTTCTTTCTTTCATTCTTTTCTTTCTTCCATCACCACTTCATTTATTTCATTCTGCTTTCTTTCTTTCATTCCTATAAGTGTTATAATTCCTTCTATCGTTTCATTTCATATATTCTGCTTTCTTTTCTTAATTCCTATCACGTCTATAATTTATATTTCTTTCCTTCCTTTCATTCTTTCCTTCCAACATAGTTTCGTTTCATTATTTCTGCTTTCTTTCCTTCATTCCTATCCCGTCTATAATTTAAATTACCTTCCTTCTTTTCTCTCATTTTTCTTTCTTTCCATCATCGCTTCCTTTCTTACATTCTGTTTTCTTTCATTCATTCCTATCCCGTCTATAATTTAAATTACCTTCCTTCTTTTCTCTCATTTTTTCTTTCCTTCCATCATCGCTTCCTTTCTTACATTCTGTTTTCTTTCATACATTCCTATCACGTCTATAATTTAAATTTCCTTCCTTTCTTTCGTTTTTTCCTGGCTCGTTTCTCTTCATTGAATTTTTTTTCTTCCCTTCGCCATATATCCTTTTTTTATGGTACAAATTTTCTTCATTACTCCTGTCCTACATTTCATTCTCATTCGTTCAATCGTTCCTTCCTTCCATCTCTATCGTTCAAATTTTCCTTCCTTATATATTCCTACCTACGTTCCCCCCTTTCTTTCCTGCTTTCACTCTTCGTTTAAGGATTACTTTCGTTCCTTCCTTCATCTATCCTTTCGTTTCTATCTTCATCTATCCTTACGTTTCTATCTTCATCTATCCGTTTCTTCCTTCTTTTCCGTCATGGTTCATCTTTTTCTTTCTACTTTATTTCTTTTCATTCATTCTTCATTCTGTCTTTCCTTGTCCCGTCATATAACCTTCCTTCCTTCCTTCCTTCCTTCCTTCCTTCCTTCCTTCCTTTTTATATCCTACCTACCTTCCTTCCTTTGTTTTGTGAATTGCCTCCTTCCCAATCATCAAATTTTCCTTTTCCTTAGTCTACCCCTAACTTCATTCTTTTCAGGTATGCCTCAACTTCCTTCCTTCCTTCCTTCCCTTCCTTCCTTTTTGCCTTCTTTATCTTTCAATTATCTATCTCATTCGAAGTCGTTATGACACACACACTACTGTGGACATCTCAGGTAGAATAGTCTATCATGATAGGCCGTGTTAATACAAGATTATTTTTTACACATTTATAAGGCTCACACTTTTCCCCATATCTCTAAATTATCCTCAAAGTTATTCTAATTTATTTTTTATATAGTAAAACCTAGTATAGTAAAAAAAACAAAAAAACAAAAAAAAAAAAACCCGAAACTTTTTCGGTCCGTTTCCTTATTGCAAATCTCGTCTGTTTCTTTCATTTCGAAGTTTAGTTTTTCTATTCTACGATTTTATCCCGATTCATATTTTCTACATTTCTTGACGTAACGAAATAAAGCGGGAATTTTTCATCCAAAATCATTTAATTTCTTTCCACATTTTTCTTCTTTTTTTCGCATTCTTTTTCAGATTTGTCCCTATTCACTCCACATCTCTCAATCTTTCTTTCTTTCTTTCTTTCTTTCTTTCTTTCTTTCTTTCTTTCTTTCTTTCTAATTTCCCGTAAGTTATATTTTTCTTTCTTTCTTTCTTTCTTTCTTTCTTTCTTTCTTTCTTTCTTTCTTTCGTTTTATTCTTCAAATCCTTTTCTTTCTTTCTTTCTTTCTTTCTTTCTTTCTTTCTTTCTTTAATCTCAATCAGTCATTATCTTTCTCATCTCCCTCTTACTTTTCTTCTTCTTCTTCTTCTTCTTCTTTTTCTTCTTCTTCTTCTTCTTCTATTTTCTTTTTCTTTATGTTTCTCTCAGACACCTTCTCATTTTCCTTTCTACCTCTACCCTCTTTCTTTCTTTTTTCTTACTTTTTGTTTGTAGTGCCCTGTTATGCAGGTCCCTCCTTCTTTGTCGTGTCTAATTTAGCCTTTTCTAGTTCCTTTCTTCATATTTCCTCTCTCTTTTTTCGACCTTCTCCTTTCCTTAGTTTTTTTTTTTTATCTATTTCATTTATATGTCCAATTCTATTCACATCTTCATCGTATATTTCCCTTTCAGCTCGTTTCATCTCTTCCTGTCGGCCATCTTGTCATACAACGTCTCAGCATTTTACTTTGCATAAATTTTTCTTTCATATGCAAGATTTTATGTTTCAACATAAGATATTTTTCTCTCTTTCTGACTAGTCTTCTTACTATTTAAGATCCAAAACCTATTTTCCCTTCATTCGTTCTCTCATCTGTTTCATAAATAATTGTCACTATTGTCTTATATAGATTTTCCTGCATTTCTTCAGTATTTTATTACAGCTTCATTTATTCGTTCGTTCCGTCATTTTTTCTTTTTCTTTCTTTCTTTCCGTCTTTCTTTCCTTCTTTCTTTCTTTCTTTCTTTCTTTTGTTTTATTTCTTTCTTATTTTGTTTGTTTCTTTACTTTTATTCCACAAACCTTGTTTGTTGAATTGTTTGTTTGTTTATTTAATTTATTCATTCCCCAAACCATTTTCTTTTTTCTTTCTTTCTTTCTTTCTTGCTTTCTTTCTTTCTAATTCCCCGTAAGTTATATTTTTCTTTCTTTCTTTCTTTCTTTCTTTCTTTCTTTCTTTCTTTCTTTCTTTCTTTCTTATTTTGTTTATTTGTTTGTTTTGTTTTATTCAACAAACCGTGTTTGTTTGTTTGTTTATTTATTTAATTTATGTATTCCCCAAACTATTTTTCTTTCTTTCTTTCTTTCTTTCTTTCTTTCTTTCTTTCTTTCTTTCTTTCTTTTGTTTTATTTCTCAAACTTCTTTCTTTCTTTCTTTCTTTCTTTCTTTCTTTCTTTCTTTCTTTTTTATTTTATTTGTTTCTTTACTTTTATTCCACAAACCTTGTTTGTTTAATTGTTTGTTTGTTTATTTATTTATTTAATTTATTTATTCCCCAAACCATTTTCTTTCTTTCTTTCTTTCTTTCTTTCTTTCTTTCTTTCTTTCTTTCTTTCTTTCTTAAATCTTCTTATCTCAATCCTTACATTCTTTATTTTCTTTCTTTTTTTAGTTTTCTCCCTTTTCGTAACTTCCCTTCATACTTGTTCCTCTGCAGTTTATTTTCCCATCATCATCATCATCATCATCATCATCATCATCATCCTTTTCCCTTTTTTAAAATTTGTCTTTATGCACATTTTATTCAATCAGTTTTTGTTCTCGTTCGATCTTTCACTTTCATTCATCATCTTCACTCTTTACGTTTTTTGTTTTTGTCTTTTCCTCTTAATCCTGGTCTCCTCCTCCTCCTCCTCCCCCTCTTTCCTTTCTAGACTCTGTTCCCTTAACCGTGTTCCGTTTTATTTATCTTTCTTTTCTAAATTAACTCTTGACTTTTATGTCTACTCTTCTTTTTTCTTTTCGCTTTCTACATTTCCTTCTCTTTTATCCTTTACTTTTTCCTTCTCTTCACCTTCTCTCTTTCTTCTTCATTTCTGATATTTCTTCTTTTCTTTTTTGCCCTTTTTCTTCTACGTTTTCATTTCATTTTCCTTCCATTTTTTCTCGCGTTCTATCGCTGCTCATTCCACTTTCTTTCTTTCTTTCTTTCTTTCTTTCTTTCTTTCTTTCTTTCTTTCTTTCTTTCTTTCTTCTATTCTCTCTCATTTTTATATTTCATATTTTCTTCATTTTCTTCTCTCTTCTTCTCTTCATTTCCCCCCTCTTATTCTCCATCGTTTTGCCTTCTTTTATTCTTATTCCACCCTCTCTAATTTCTTTCACTGTCTCACCTTGTACGAACCCATCTTCCGGTTCCCCCCATCCCACTTATTTCCTTGCGGTTTCCCGGTTTTCCTCACCTTTCTCTTAATGTCTCTTCTTTCATCCATGTTCGCCAGTCGCACCTCCTTCCTCTTTAGAAACACAGATTTGAAGAATTCACTTCCTTTTGCATAGTCGGTTGCCTCGTCTATTCGTCGCTCGACCGATTTCTCTATTAGTCTGTCTGTTTGATGGACAGACTCAAAGGCGGGAAGACAACCGGTCTGGATGGTCGAACGGATGACTAGCTGGCTCGTTGGCTGGTTGGTTGGTTGGGCTGTCGGTCGGAAGCTCGTTGCAAACAGTGGATATTTTAGTCCGCATATAGAAATTTATACTCGGCGCAACGACGATCGATGGTCGGTTTGAAAAGAGATATTATAAAGAGATTATGTCTCAGGATAGCAGCTTGCCAACAGTAACTATTCTGGTAAGTTTATCAACAAGACAAAATAGGATACCGCAAACGAAAAAGCGTTGTAAAATAAAACAGAAAGTGAAAGTGAAAGTAGGGTGTCGGTGGAGAAGGAGGAATAGGGAAAAGTAAGGCAAAATGGTGAAATATAAGAAAAGAAACTAATGGAAAGAGAGAGACTGGACGAAGCAGAGAGATAAGGGAGAAGAGGAAGAAAAGTAGTATGGAAGAGGAATGGGAAAAGAAAAAGGTGTAACAATAGAGAGAAGAGAAATAGAGGGAAGAAAGAAATGACATAAGAAAGTACGAGGAGGAGGAGGAGGAGGACGAGGGATGCTACGTAAAAAAATAAAGGTAGGTTAACAAAAGGGTAGGAGGAATAGTAAAGGCCTAAGCATTGAGGAGGACTAGGGAGGTAGGTCAAGGAAGCAACATGAAATGAAGTTAAATATAGTGAGTGAAGGAGAATAGAGTGAAAGTGAACGAAGAGAAAAGAATGGCGCTACGCAATAAATCAAAAGGATAAAGTATGTTTGTAAAAATGGTAATTGAAAAGACAGTAGAAGACAAATATATCGGTGGCAAATAGGTCATCAAAAGACAAAAAGAAAGAAGGAAGGATGGAAAGAAAGAAAAAAGAAAGAAAGAAAGAAAGAAATAAAGAAAAGAGAGGAAGGAAGGAAGGAAGGAAGGAAGGAAGGAAGGAAGGAAGGAAGGAATAAAGAAAGAAAGAAAATATGAACTGGTGATAAGAAAGAAAGACAAATATATCAGTGGCAAGTAGGTCGACAAAAGAAAAAGAGAAAGAAGGAAGGATGGAAAGAAAGAAAGAAAGAAAGAATTAAAGAAAGAGAGAAATAAAATATAAACTAGTGAGAAGAAGAAATGAAAATTAGAAAAAAGGAACAATAATGAAAAAAAGAAAGAATGAAAAAAGAACGAATGAAAAACGAAACAATGAAAGAAAGAAATGAAGAGAAATTTAAGTCGACAAAAGAAAAAAGAAAGAAAGGAAGAAAGAAAGGATGGAAGGAAAGAAAGAAAGAAGGGAAGAAAAAAAGAAAGAAAGTATGAACTGGTGAGAAGAAGAAATGAAAAATTAGAAAAAAGAACAATAATGAAAAGAAAGAAAGAAAGAAAGAAAGAAAGAAATACAAATATATCAATGGCAAACAGGTCGACAAAAGAAAAAAACAAAAAAAAAAGAGGGAAGGAAGGAAGGAAGGAAAGAAAGTAGGAAAGAAAGAAAGAAATAAAAAAAGAAATGAAGAAGGAAAAAAAGAACGAAAATATGAACTGGTGAGAAGAAGAAATGAAAATTAGAAAAGAGGGAACAATAATGAAGAAAGAAAGGAAGAAAGAAAGAAAGAAAGACAAATATATCAGTGGCAAATAGTCGACAAAAGAAAAATATAAGAAAGAAAAAAGGAAGGAAGGAAGGAAGGAAAGAAAGTAGGAAAGAAAGAAAGTAAGAAAGAAAGAAAAAAGGAAGGGAAGAAAGAAAAAACAAAGAAAGAAAATATGAACTGGTGAGAAGATGATGAGAAATTAGAAAAAAAGGAATAATAATGAAAAAAGAAAAAAAAGAAATACACATATATCAATGGTAAATAGGTTGGCAAATGAAAAAAAAGAAAGGAAGGAAGGAAGAAAGAAAGAAAGACAGAAAGAAAATATGAAGTGGTGAGAAGAAGAAATGAAATTTAGAAAAAAGGAACAATAATGAAAAAAAAAGAATGAAAGAAAGAAAGACAGACAAATATATCAGTGGCAAATGGGTTGACAAAATAAAACAAAGAAAGAAAGAACGAAGGAAGGCAGGATGGAAAGAAAGAAAGAAAGAAAGAAAGAAAGAAAATATGAACTGCTGAGAAGAAAGGAACAATAATGAAGAAAGAGAGAAAGAAAGACAAATATATCAGAGGCAAATTGGTCGACAAAAGAAAAAATAAGAAAGAAAGAAGGAAGAAAGGGATGAAAGAAAGTAGGAAAGAAAGAAAGAAAAAAAAGAAAGGAAAAAGAAAGAAAGAAAGAAAGAAAGAAAGAAGGAAAATATAAACTGGTGAGAAGAAAGGAACAATAATGAAGAAAATGAGAAAGAAAGACAAATATATCAGAAGTAAGGGAAGAAAGAAAAAACAAAGAAAATACGAACTGGAGAAGAAGAAATGAAAATTAGAAAAAAAGGAACAATAATGAGGAAAAAATACGAAAGAAAAAAGGAAGGAACGAAGGAAGGAAAGAAAGTAGGAAAGAAAGAAAGAAAGCAAGAAAGAAAGAAAGAAAGAAAGAAGGAAGGGAAGAAAGAAAAAACAAACAAAGAAAATATGAACTGGTGAGAAGATGATGAGAAATTAGAAAAAAGGAATAATAATGAAAAAAGAAAGACACATATATCAATGGTAAATAGGTTGACAAAAGAAAAAAGAAAGTAATCAAGGAAAGAAAGAAAGAAAGAAAGAAAGAAAGAAAGAAAGAAAGAAAGAAAGAAAATATGAAACTGGTGAGAAGAAGGAATAAAAATTAGAAAAAAGGAACAATAATGAAAAAAAAGAATGAGAGAAAGAAAGACAGACAAATATATCAGTGGCAAATAGGTCGGCAAAATAAAAAACAAAGAAAGAAGGAAGGAAGGAAGGAAGGAAGGAAAGAAGGAAGGAAGGAAAGAAAGAAAGGAAGAAAGAAAGAAAGAAAGAGAGAAATAAATAAAGAAAATATGAACTAGTAAAAAGAAGAAATGAAAATAAGACAAAAAACAAAGGAACAATAATGAAGGAAGAAAGAAAGACAATATCGTGGCAAATAGGTCGACAAAAGAAAAAAGAAACAAAGAAGGAAGGAAGGAAGGAAAATTGAAAATAAGTAAATAAATAAATAAAAAGAAAGAAAGAATACCGGAAGGAAAAGAAGAAAGAAAGAAATATGAACTTGTGAGAAGAAAATAAAACAAAAAAAAACAAAAAAAAAACAAGGAAACAATACCAAAGGAAGAAAGTAAGGCAAATATAACTCTGGCAAATTGATCGACAAATGAAAGAAAGATAGAACGAAAAAAAAAGGGAAAGAAATTAAGAAGGAAAGAAAAAAAGGAAGAAATTTAATCCTGGTTAGATGATGAAATGAAAATAAGAAAGAACAGAGAGAATTAATAAAGAAAAAAAAGAAAAAAAGAAAGAAAGAGCAATTGAAAAAGAAAAGAAAGAAAATCTATGAAATTAGCGTATTAAGAGAGAATAGAAAGAATGAAAGATGTTGTGGAGAAACGGAAAGAAAGAAAGCAAGAAAGAAAGGAAGGAAGGAAAGACGTAATAGGAAAGGAATTATAAGAAGAGAAGGAAAATGATAGTAGAGCGAGGAAAATAAATTAAACGAAGTAGAATAAAGGAAAGAAGAAAAAGAGTTAAAGAAAAAACTATAAAAGAAAGAATGATTGAGGACCCAACGAAGAGAGAAAGTAGAAAAATAGATATAAAATAAAAAAAAACAATGAGCAGCAAGAAAGAAGATGCTAAAACGAAAAAAGAAAAAGAAGAAAAGAAGAAAAAGAAAAAACAAGAAAAAAGAAAAAAGAAAAAAAAGAAAAAAGTAAAAAAGAAAAAAGAAAAAAAGAAAAAAAGACAAAATAGGAAAAAAAGAAAAAAAAAGGAAAAGATAAAATAAAAAAGAAAAAGAAAAAAAAAAAAAAGAAAAACGAAAACTAAGAAAAAAAGAAAATAGAAAAAAAGAAAAAAGAAAAAGAGAAAAAAGTAAAAAAGAAAAAAGAAAAAGGTGTAAAAGAGAAAAAGATAGGAAAGAAGCAATACTAACAACAAAGACAAGAAAGAAACGAAAAAGAAAAAAAGAGAAAAAAGAAAATGGAAGACCGAATAAAGAAATGATGAGAAGAAAAATACAAAGAAAAGAAAAAACATGAAATGACTTTCAACCGGAACTAATAAAAAACTGCGATTAAGAAAATGCGACAAAATAAAAGACAAGAGAAAGAAAAAAATAAGGAAGGAAGTAAAGAAAAAGGAAAAAAAAGAGTAACAAAAAACAAAAATAAACAACAGTAAAGAAAGAAAAAGAGAAAGAAAATGAATATAAAAAGCAAAAAGGATGGTTGGAAAATGACAAAGGCTCGGAGCAAAGAAGAAAACATAAATAAAAGAAAGAAAAAAAATTGGAAGGAACATTTAAAAAAAAAACAGAGAGAAAAAAGCCGTATAGAAAAAAAAAAGAAAGAAAAGTTGAACGACAAAGAGAGGAAATGGAAAGTGGGGGGGTGCTAAAATAACAGAGAAAACAACAATAAAAGAAAATAATGAACACAAGACAAATTCAAGAAATAACAAACAAACAAGAAAAATAAGATGGCAGATTATGTACTTCCAATAAATACATATTTTCGATACATATAAGCGTTAGTATCGAAAAGTGGACAGACGAAACGTATTGGGATGTGCGGGTGGTTTGCTAGATAGCAGCACGTTATGAGAAATCCGACAGCCGAGTTCGAGTCTGGTTCATTATATTCACTTACTCTGGGAAAGGTATGAATAAATATTCCCAACATCTATGGGCTAAATAGTAGAAGAAATTACTATAATTTTTAAAATTTGTTAATGCAAAATAAACTCGTAAAATAGAAAATAATAATTATCATTACAATAATATATTTCGGCGTTAAATAAAACACAAGACGTTGATAAACTAGAAAAAAAAAAACCCCAAAAAAACCCAAAAAAACAAATCAGTCATACATGCTGTGATTTGTACCATTGAACAGAAAGAGAAATGACTGAAAAATTGTAGCAACGTGAAAACCGATAATTTGCTACCGAGGATTTCAAAATGATTTTAAGGATTTTGATAAAGCAGTCATTAGCACGAACAGAGATTTAAGGGGAAGGCCGGTCGAGTGTCGGTTTATGGGATGAGCGATCAGAGAGGCAAATCTGATGAGAAACGCCATAAAATGTAGATATGGTGAAGGTCATTGATGGTGACTGTGAGCAGATGAATATTGGAGAACTTTGCTGACACGATAAACCCAGCGAGAGATTAAAACTGGTAGAGGGTTAGTGGGTAAAGGAGGACAAGAAAATCTGTATCATTGCCAAAATTTACCATTGAATATACTTTTATATATTTGAAAAGAAGCATTTCAGCGAAAGCAAATAGCTAATGGGAATAGTAAGGGATGTTCATGAAAAAGGGACTGAGAATTGGGATAGTGAAAAAGGACAAAGATTCTCAATGCCCTCCCTATTCTCAGGGGTTCTTTCACTTTAAGTGAAGTAACTCCCTGCTTACTAGTGGCATTCCCTTCATCTTTTGTCCTTTCCTCAATCCTCCCTATTCTCAGTCTTCTACTTCACTTTCACTCCCTGTAACCCCCTGCTCACTAGTGGCATTCCCCTTCATCTTTTCTCCTTTCCTCAATGCTCCCTATTGTCAGTCTTCTCTTTCACTTTCACTCCCTGTAACCCCCTGCTTACTAGTGGCATTCCCCTTCATCTTTTCTCCTTTCCTCAATACTCCCTATTCTCAGTCTTCTCATTCACTTTCATTCCGTGTTACCCCCTCCGTGTTAGTTGCATTTCCCTCCATCTTTTGTCCTTTCCTCAATCCTCCCTATTCTCAGTCTTCTCATTCACTTTCACTCCCTGTAAGCCCCTGTGTACTAGTGGCATTCCCCTTCATCTTTTCTCCTTTCCTCAATGCTCCCTATTGTCAGTCTTCTCTTTCACTTTCACTCTCTGTAACCCCCTGCTTACTAGTGGCATTCCCCTTCATCTTTTGTCCTTTCCTCAATCCTCCCTATTCTCAGTCTTCTCTTTCACTTTCACTCCCTGTAACCCCCTGCTTGCTGGTGGCATTCCCCTTCATCTTTTGTCCTTTCCTCAATCCTCCCTATTCTCTGTCTTCTCTTTCACTTTCCCTCCCTGTAACCCCCTGCCTACTAGTGGCATTCCCCTTCATCTTTTGTCCTTTCCTCAATCCTCCCTATTCTCTGTCTTCTCTTTCACTTTCACTCCCTGTAACCCCCTGCTTACTAGTGGCATTACCCTTCATCTTTTCTCCTTTCCTCAATCCTCCCTATTCTCAGTCTTCTCTTTCACTTTCACTCCCTGTAACCCCCTGCCTACTAGTGGCATTCCCCTTCATCTTTTGTCCTTTCCTCAATCGTCCCTATTCTCTGTCTTCTTTCACTTTCTATTTTTTCCCTGTAAGGCCCTGCGTACTAGTGGCATTCCCTTCATCTTTTCTCCTTTCCTCAATGCTCCCTATTGTCAGTCTTCTTTCTTTCACTTTCACTCCCCTGTAACCCCTGCTTACTAGTGGCATTCCGTTTCATCTTTTGTCCTTTTCCTCAATCCTCCCTATTCTCAGTCTTCTTTTCACTTTCCTCCCTGTAACCCCCTGCTTATTAGTGGCATTTCCCTTCATCTTTTGTCCTTTCCTCAATCCTCCCTATTCTCTGTCTTCTCTTTCACTTTTTTCCCTGTAACACCCTGCCTACTAGTGGCATTCCCCTTCATCTTTTGTCCTTTCCTCAATCCTCCCTATTCTCTCGTCTTCTCTTTCAATTTCTTCTTCCCTGTAACCCCTATGCTTACTAGTGGCATTATTTATTCTTTATATTTTGTCCTTTCCTCAATCCCTCCCTTTTCTCTGTTCTTCTTCTTTTCTTCTTCTTCTTCTTTTCTTCTTCTTGCTGTAACCCCCTTGCCTATTTCACTTCCTCTTTTCTTTTGGCATTTTCCCTTTCATCTTTTTTTGTCCTTTCCTCAATCCTCCCTATTCTCTGTCTTCTCTTTTCAATTTCTTTTTTTCCTGTAACCACCTATTTTGCCTACTAGTGGCATTCCCTTTTCATCTTTTGTCCTATTCTTCTTCTTCTTCCTTCCTATTCTCTGTCTCTCTTTTCTTTTTCACTTTCACTTTCCTGTAATTCCCCCGATTTGCCTAATAGTAGCATTCTTCTTCATCTTTGTCCTTTCCTTTTTCAATCCTTCCTATTCTTTGTCAATTTATTTATTCTTTCATTTTTCCGATTTTACCCTTTCATTATCCCCCTTTTCTTTTTCGTCTTGTTTACTAGTGGCATTCTTTTCTTCTTTTCTTCTTTTCTTCTCTGTCTTCTCTTATTTTCTATTGTCTTCTTTCTTTTCAATTTATTTATTCTTTCTATTTTCAGTCCTGCTTTATTATCCCCCTTTTTGCCTTTTCGTCTTGTTGGCATTCCGTTTCATCTTTTGTCTTCTTTCTTTTTTCTCCCTTTTCTCTTTCTTTCCAATTTATTTATTCTTTCTATTTTCTCCCTGTTGTCTTTCCTTTTCTTTCTTCTTTTCTATTTTTCTCAATCCTTCTTTTTTCTCTTTCTTTGTCTTTTCTTGCTTTTTTTATTTAATTTATTTTGCTATTTTAGTGGCATTTTCATTATCCATTTCCTTTTTTTTTTCGTCTTTCCTCAATCCTTCTATTCTCTTCTTCTTCTTCTTCTTCTTTCTTCTTCTCTGTCTTCTCTTGCTTTTTTTCTATTTTCCCTTTCTTTTGTCAATTTATTTATTCTTTCTATTTTTCCGATTTTCCTTTCATTATCCACTTTCCTTTTTTCTTGTTGTTTATTCTTCTTCTTCTTCTTCTTCTTCTTTTCTCTGTCAACTTCCTCTTTCTTTGTCAATTTATTTATTCTTTCTATTTTCATATTTTTCTTCTTTTTCCCCTTCTTCTTGTTGTGGCATTCTTCTTCTTCTTCTTTTGTCCTTTTCCTCAATCTCTTTTTTTTCTATTTTCACTTCCTCTTTCTTTGTCAATTTATTTTTCTTTCTATTTTCAGTCCGATTTTTTACTTTCATTATCCACTTTCCTTTTTCTTTTTTCGTCTTTTGTCGTTGCTATTCTTCTTCTTCTTCTTCTTCTTCTTCTTCTTCTTCTCTGTCTTCTCTTGCTTTTTTATTTTCACTTCCCTTTCTTTGTCAATTTATTTCCTTTCTATTTTCAGTCCGATTTTACAGCTTTCATTATCCACTTTTTTTTCTTTTTTTTCGTCTTGTTGTCGTTGCTATTCTTCTTCTTCTTCTTCTTCTTCTTCTTCTTCTTCTTCTTCTTCTCTGTCTTCTCTTGCTTTTTTTCTATTTTCCTTCCTCTTTCTTTGTCAATTTATTTATTCTTTCTATTTTCAGTCTTTTGTCCTTTCATTATCCACTTTCCTTTTCTTTTTCGTCTTGTTGTCGTTTCTTCTTCTTCTTCTTCTTCTTCTTCTTCTTCTTCTTCTTCTTCATCTTCTCTTGCTTTTTTCTTTTTTCTTTCTTTTGTCAATTTATTTATTTTTCTATTTTCAATTTTCCTTTCATTATCTTTCTTTTCTTTTTCGTCTTGTTTCGTTTATTCTTTCTATTTTCTTCTGTCCGATTTTAACCTTTCTTTATCAATTTATTTATTCTTTCTTTTTCTTTTCTTCCTTTTTCTTTTTGTCTTGTTTTTGCTTTTCTTCTTCCTTCTTCTTATTCTTTCTTCTTCTTCTCTGTTTCTCTTTTTTTTTTTCTATTTTCCTTCCTCTTTCTTTTTGTCATCTTTATTTATTCTTTCTATTTTTCTCCATTTTCAATCCGATTTCTTGTTGTTTCATTATCTTCTTT